AATAACCATTGATAATTTCTTGCCATTTTGTCTGTAATTTGGTAAGTCCCCCCTAATATTATGTTATCCTTATTTTACTCTTTAAAATAAAAAAAAAAAAAGATGGAATGTCTTGGAAAAGTCATCCTTATTTCAGGCTGACTGGCCCCCTTATTTCAAAGAGCTTCCTGTACACATGTTCAGAGATGTATTTTATTTGAGTATAGATTGTAGACTGTATTTGTAGGCTTCAACAAAATAGGAGGACCAGGGTACAAGGATGTCATGGAGTGGGGAGCACTGTGATGGTTTCCTCCTTCACATCTCTACAGAGCTGTAGCATTTTGCAGGAAACATATATGATGAAGACTGTTCTTGACAGGAACGAGTGGAAAGTTTGCTATTGTCATGTAGTAGTAGTTTGAAAGACTGTATAAATCTCTCACTAGCCAGCATTGACTTCAATTCTTGATGAATTACTAATCTGAGGGAATTTGTATTCATATTTTTCACCTAAGTTAATCTTTATTATCAAATCATTTTTATATTGCACCAAATGCAGCCATGCACAGCTTAGATTTTCCAGTTAGGAGTAATGATCATTACCACTTGCTGAGTCCTTATATTCCAGACGTTTTACATGTATAAGTTCATTTTATTCTCCTCTATCCCTTTGAAGTGAGCACTAGTTGAGTAGCTTTTATCTGGAATGCTTGGGAGCAGAAGTGTCTGAGTTTGCCTGAGTTGGGAGTTTTTTCAGATTTTGGAATACTTGCATAGACTTTACTAGTTGAGTATCGCTAAACTGAAAAGTCAAAATCTCCAGAATTCAACATCCACATTTGAGTGATGACAGGATACAATATGAGTTAAGAGTCACCCAGAAGCTACCGTACTTTGATGATAGGAATATATTTATAGGTGGCACAATTTACACAATAGAAACTGGTTTTGAGAGTTGCTATGGGAATGAAAATTATTTTATTGCTTCTATAAACATTTTAAAGATAGAGATTCACACCAGTACACTCAGTTATCAGTGATGTGAGGGCCTGTTGCCTGAGGCTGACCAGCTGCTGTTATTCAAAAGACCACATCTAGTGGTATAACCCTAGGAAAATTTTGAAGAGTTGATTCTTGAGTCTTAGAATCTGATTTGTCACAAGTGTACCAAAGAGGATTAAATGAGTCCTACAACCTGATACAGCTAATATGTAATGCCAGAGTGCAAATTTGTTAATTTATACCAAGAAAAAACTGTTGCATAAGTCAGTTGTACCAGGATGATCAATGTATTTTCTTCTAGTTGGTGAACCTAGATGGGGAACTAAATTATAGTCAAGATGTTTCTTTATAAATAACAGGCACTTTGAATATGTTTTGTTTTCTGCAATATTTATCTGTTTGAGAAATTCCTCAAGGATTTCATCAAGAGTAGCCGCTATTGGCATGTGCACAATCTTTATAAATAGCCTCCACTCCTGGGCCCCACCACCAGGGGCTCTGCTACCATAGAAACAGTTTTAATAAACGTGGGTATTTTAGAAAATATGTGGGTTCAGAATTGAAGGAAGGGAAGAGTCTGAGAAAAACAGAAATGCTAAAGGACATTGATTTCAGGGATAGATCCTAAATAGGATTTGTTTGCTTGAGTGGGAAATCTCTTTACCTAAAAATGTATTTTTATAACTGCATGCAGGGGACCCCACCCTTTTCTGTTATACTGTCTGAAATTTCACCAACTAGAGATTGGTTTCTTAAAACTCTAAATATCCATATATGCCAGAAATTCTTTTTCAAAAAAAAACCAGACATCCATTTACAAAATAGCATAAGAATAATACAAACAAAACAGAGTTACAGACAGAGTTGTAGGAAATTAACCATGGTTGTTGTATTACTTATTGATAACTTCAAAGTGGTTTCTCAGGAAAACAAATAGAGATATACAAGATTGATGAAACGAGTAATCATTAACTGTTCCTTTCTGTAGAGCAATAGATGACAGTAGTACAATTATGTTAGCTATCCTGTATATACACACTTACATAATTTCCCCTTCTTTCCCTTCTCTTTTCCCACACTCCAGCTGCCCTTTACTTTTGAGCATTTTCCTTTTGTTTCATAATGTCTATCATACCTCCTAGTTTTTATTCCCTCTTTCAGGTCTTATACTAGTGAGACAATACAATACTTACACATGGAGGTCTGATTTATTTCACTTATGAGTATGGTCTCTAGTTGTGACCATTTACCTATAAAAGTCTTGAGTTTAGCTTTCTTAGCTGAGTAATA